CCCCTCCCTTAAACCCTCAACCCTAAACCCTAAAACCCCCTCCCCCCGACCCCCGGCCGCGTCCTGGGAGCCCGTGAAGAGCGTAAATGACTCCGCCCAGGCCATGGCGCAGATTCGCCTGGTTGCGGGTTTTCAACGACCTTCCAAAAACCCGGCTTCCTTTAAGGGTGCTTTAGGGTTTAGGGCTTAGGACCTCGAAAAGGGATCTAGAGGGTTGGGGATTCTGCCGGCCTTAGAATTTAGGATCCAAGGCTTAAGGGGTTTCGGCTTTAGGATTTAGGATTTAGGGATTAGGGTTTCGGGCTTCGGGTTCAGGGTCCCTACTACCACTGAAAGGAGCATTCCTTCATTCAGCACGGCCCAGACCTTGAAGACGACAGGAACCCTAAAAGGGTTTCAGGTTCATACACCAGAAAAAGATTCATAGTACAAGGGTATAGGGCCCCGACTTTTAAGGGTCCTTTGGTCCTTCAGGGAGTGATGCTCCACAAGGGTTTCGGAGTCTCTATGTCGGTTGGGCGGTGAACGCCAGCCCAGGATTCCTTTTGAAGTCTATAAGGGATGACCCTAAACCCGAAGCTTGCAAGCTTGCAACCCTAAACCCTAGTACGCTCCTAAACCCTAAAGCCCTAAAACCTAAACCCCAAACACTAAACCCTAAGCCCTAAAGCCTAAACCCCAAACACTAAACCCTAAGCCCTAAGCCCTAAACCGTTCTGGCCTGCGGTGGCCCCGCATCACCTGCAGCTGCCGCTCCAGGCTAGCATCCTGCAGTGATCTCTTTGAGGCCTGTCTTTCGGTTGGCGTTTAGGGTTTAGGAGGATCTTGTAGTATAGGTTTAGGGTTTCGGGTGTTGGGTTTAGGGCTTTGGGTTGAGGAGGATCTTGTAGTATAGGTTTAGGGTTTAGGGTTTTGCGTTTAGGGTTTAGCCCGCAGGCAAAAGTTAGGCTGTCGTCATATTTTCTGCGAATTTTTATCGGGCACTGGGGACTTACAGAAAGGTACAGGTGAGGCACTCAAAACCTAAACCGGATCAGGAGAAAAAACTACAGAAGATAGGAACCCTTGTAGATCCCTTATAGCCCCTTCAGTTAGACCCCAAAGGGCACCCTTACAGGAACCCTGAAACAACCCAAACCCTACTCCCCTAAACCCGAAACCCCCAAACCCAAAACCCCTAAAGCCCCTAAAACCCCTAAAACCCCCAAACTCAAAACCCCTAAACCCCTAAAAACCCCTAAACCCCCAAACCCTAAACCCCTAAAACCCCTAAAACCCCTAAAACCCTAAAACCACTAAAAACCCTAAACCCCCAAACCCTAAACCCCTAAAACCCCTAAAACCCCGAAAACCCCCTAAAATCCCCAGGCACGGAGTCCCAGATCTGGACGTGCCCGTCTGACAGGCCGACTGCCAGGAGCTCTCCGGACCTTCCAAAGACTCCGTGGAGAAAAATGTGGGCACGGTTAAGGGCTTCGGGGTTTTAGGGGTTTAGGGTTTAGGGCTTGGGATTTAGGGTCAAGGGCTTCGGGGTTTTAGGGGTTTAGGGTCTAGGGCTTGGGATTTAGGGCTTAAGGCTTTGGGTTTAGGGCTTAGGGTTAAGGGTTTGGGATTTAGGGCTTAGGGCTAAAGGTTTCGGATTTAGGGCTTTCGGGTTTAGGGTTTAAGGATTAAGGCTTGTGGGTTTAGGGCTGAAGGATTTAGGGTTTAGGGCTCTAGAAGTTAAGGGTTCTAGAAAGGGACTCTAGAAAAACTCTACATGTACTAGGGTCTAGGAGTTGGGGACCTGGGGCTTTGATATAAGGCTCCCCTAAGCCAACAAGGGCTTTCGGTTTACGTCCGGGGCCTTCGAAGCTGAAGTTTCGGATTTCGGCCCCAGGGGGTAAACCCCGCACCCCGCACCCTGAAACACTAAACCTTGGAGCCCCTGCAGATCCCTTAGAGAGAACCTTAATAGTCACGGTTTAGGGCTAGGGGCTTAGGGTTTAGGGTTTAGGGTATAGGTTTTAGGATCCCAAACCCAACAGGTTGAATGATGAGCTCAGCTGCCTGAGCGCATCAGGACGTCGCGACCAGCGAAGGCAGGAAACCTAAGCATCGACTTTCGCAGTTTGAGGTTTACAGTGGCTTACGGGGTTCATGGGGGTTTAGGACTCAGTTAGGAAGTTTAGGGCAGTTAGGAAGTTTAGGGCTTTAGGACTCA